TCTCTTGCTGGCCCAGGCTGCTGCCTGATATTGATAAAACTCTAATCAATTTCACACTGAAGGATTTTTACCTCCTAAGTGGCTTGCACAAGCCTGCTAGGCAAACAGCCAGTGCTAGTGCATTCTTTTCGATGTGTATTCCCCGTTCTGTACCTGCTTACTCTCTTGTAACCCCTTTCTCTCCAATGAATGTAAATACAAACATTAATTTTCTTCTAGCTAATTATCCCAGTGCAAGGGTGAACATTCCAAAGGGCAGGGGAGTAGGAGGAAAGGACTGTAAGATTTGCCCTTTTACCTGGGTCCTCATGAGTTGAGTTCCAGAAACCTACCCCACTATTTGGGCTCACCTGGCTGTTTGGGATCATATCCTTCTGACACTGTAAAGCAAGGGAAAGCTGAAGTAAAATCATAAACACAGTCATGGTCACATGATTTTTCACTTAGCACCTGCTTCGCTTAACAACTGAGTTGCCATTCCCAACTGCAGTCATTAAATGAGGACTACCTATAGGTAGCTTTTTCTTAAGGTCTTCATAGAAAGTTACTGACAGATTCATATACTCATGAAATGTTAAAAAGATTAATAAGAACAGATTTACCAGTACTTATTAACTATGATATATAAATGGAATGTCTTGGTTCAGGGACAGAGTGCCTCTAAATGTTACAATGTTATTGTAATAGACAGTAGTACAGAACTTGGAAGCTTGCTTCCTTGCTTCTGGCTACTCTAAGCACTGTAAATAAAATACTTAGGAACACAGCAGGTCTATTTTTATGTTCTTATCCTGAGTTCCCCATGATAATATTAGCTCACCTGTTAGAACTATTATAACAATTGCTGACTTAATTTATATATAGCTCTTTGACACTTAGTAAAAGTGCTTCATAAATTTTGTACATCTAGCTATTTAGAAGCTGATAGAGTAATTCTGGATTTGGATAATCAGTCTGGATAATGTCAGCTGCCACTCTAAAGTTGAGTTATTGAGAATTCCAGTTTAGAACCAATAAGCAATTATAATAATAAATCAATTTAAACAGAACACTGTGTTTCTCACAAATCCTGATAAAGAAGCTGTTGAATATTGGAAAACTTTGTGGAAAATGATTAAGAACACAATAAAAAAGCACAATGGATTGACAATATTGGGAAAGAATTTGATGAAGAGCAAATGGAAGATGTGAAAGCAATAAAAATGATTCAGATGCAAGTCAAAAATATTAAAAAAAAACTAGAGTGCCCTCCAAAAAGATTAACTGCATGTCTTTTGGCTCAAATACTTGACAAGCCTACACTCCAGGCTATCAACAAATGAGCTTCTACAAACAATAAAAAATGAAGAGTGGAGGAACATTTGTAGTACAGAAAAGCAAGGGAAAAGCAACTCACTCTGACGACTCTAGGCTTTGCCTGCCCACAACACTGAAATTATTAATTGGGATTATAGAAAATCTAATACAAATTTATTTGAAATAAAATGCAATTTTCCCAATGGAACAAAAGAGACTTTCAAAAATTCATGTAGTACAAAATACCAGCTACTAATTGACAAAATGATTCTTAAATCTCAGAAGGAAAACAAACATTTTATGGCCTATAAGATGGCATTAGATTCACTCCCTCTAGGCATTGTATGAGGGAAGCTGTGTTAGCCTATGGTAGCCAAAAATAAGGAGTCTGGCAGCACCTTTTCTGACTAATAAATTTTATTAAAAGGCATAAGCTTTTGTGAGCTGCAGCTCACTTCGTCAGATGCATAGAGTGGCTGATAGCTAAATCCCCGGTAGATTTCCCCATAGCTAGATTCAAAAATCCTTGGAAATGTTTGGAATAGGCAAAAATATTAGAAGATTCCTGGAGATGTTTCTTTGGGCTTCATAGAAAAACAACTTTATGGTAAGTGGGGAAACTTGGGAGAAATACAAATAAAGCAAGGTATTTTCTGAGGAGATTATTGTCACCATTACTTTTTGTACTGGCAATGATTCCACTTACAGATACCCTGAACAAAATCAATTGTGGGTACTAATTCACAAAACAAAGCCTGAAAAATAAACCATTTGCTTTATATGGTAGACCCACAACTATATGGTAAATCAAAGCTTAAATTGAGTCTCTGATGGTCACAGTCTATATATTTAGTGAAAATATAGGAATGAATTTTGACCTGGACAGGTTCAGTGCTAGTTTGGCAATTAACGAAGATAAGATTATAGAAGATGGGTTACAGCTAATGAATGGAAATCCCATTAGACACTTGGCACCTGAAGAATAATACGAATACTTAATGAAAATTTCTGATTTATTGCGTGACTGAGATAAAAGACTACTAGTTCAGATTATACCAAACAAATCCAATTTTTTAAAAAATCTAAATATTTGGTTCTAATACTTTTCAAAATAAATAATGCCCACTAATATAGCATTTTGTTTAAGTATTAGTATGCTGTATCATAAGTTCTCTTGCTTATGATAAAAACAATTCGATTAAAAATATAATACTATAAAATAAAAATGAATAACATGAAATACAGTAGAACAAAACTTGTAGGGTCTCAGGCTGCATAAATGATTTTTAATCCCTGGTTGAACAGAAAGTTCTTTAACTATATTGAATTGTGCAAGGTGAACATGTCTGGGAATACTGTTCCATGGCTCAGCTCACTAGGTTGATGCAATGACAGTGGTGAAAGTGAATATGCTAAGCCTGCCACACATTTCCTTCATAAAGGTCCAGTGAAAATAAGTGAAACAACTGTAGAGATATGAAGGCTTTCCAAACTGGATATATGAAAGACACACCACTATTGAATGAATGTCTTCTGCAGCTAAATAAACATTCTGATATTCTGTACAGACCCATACAGGCTGTATGAATCTAGACCTCTGATAACATGATTGGTTTGAATAATTCCCTATCTACCTTCAGTATTTATTGGCTTCTCCATAGGCATTCAGATAAGCATTAAAAATACTTGCAGAAAATATGGCTTCTGAAAGTGTCAAGATACTGTACATATGTTGCCTTTCCTCCTGCAGGTACTCACACTGACTGCATGAATACTTCAAGGAAGCCAAATGCTAATGGTGGAATTTCAGTGGCCTGCTCACATAGCTACAGTTTAGATGATGCCTGAATGAGTCTCATAAATATGTACATACTAGAAATTGAATTCCTTGATTGCTACGCAGTATACTAAGGTGCCTGCTTAATCATTCATTTAAAGTGGTATGATAACATTGTAGGCTCCAGTTTGGAAAGAAGAACACTTGCTACTGTATATGTAACTTTGGATCATTTTCATCAATACATAAATGAACAGGTATAATGTTTTTGACTCATTTGTTTAATTGGGTACTCTTTATCTAGTTTTAAGACTTGTGTGGAGAACAGATCACATTTTAGGTCATATTTATGCAGAAATATTGAAAACCCCAAAGGGTTCACAAATTTATCAAGTATCACTTATTTCACTAATCACCTTTAGTCATTTTTGGGATAGTACAGGTTTGGGAACAATATCACGGAGATTCTTTCAAATATTACCTGTCTCTTTTCCCATACTTAGTTATTTGTTGCCTAAAAGAAAATGGGGGCAAGTGGAAACTTTGTTGCCTGATTGTTTAGAAGTATCCTTGTTGGACTCTGTTTTAGTTATATAGATTTTATATGGTTTAATATGTGTCTCTTTAAATGAAAGAATATTTTCAAATTAGTTCTGAACAATAAAAACTGCAAGGCATACTGTGGTAATATTTAATACTGTATTGTTCTGTACTGTACTGTAAAAATAACAGTTTGGGGAAATGAATATATGATACAAGTATGTTTCGTTAAAGTATATTTTGTTTAGTATGTGTGGTGAAGTTTTATGGTTTTAAATGTTATTTTTTTGGAAAAGTCCTACATCTGTACACCCAGTTAATTCTATAAATTCAGACTTGTTTTTTCAGCAGCTGTATTTAACATCTCCAAATAAAAGTTATTTTAATATAACATATCTGCAATGTATCGTACATTGTTTGCTTATCACATTCGTTGAGCAATGCAAACATTTTACTGTTGTGTTTTTTACATATCGTAGTCCTGTGTAGCTGCCATTCAGTCCTCAAATAATAAGAAACCTCACTCTAAGCATTCAGAAGCAATGTATTGATAATTGAAATATTATTAGCTTCATCAGAGGAAAACTCATCAGTTTGCATATTGTTCATTTAAGGAAAGCAAATACCTTCAATACTTTACTTTCAGTACTATTTCTGAACAGTTAGTATCCTGTATGTTGCTTCCCTTAAAATTACTTGTTTTGGCTTTCAGAGTATTTTATGAATAGCATGTGAGTAGTGTGTATGTGTATGAAAGAGATACACATATACATATACAAACACACACACACCCAACACAGACACATTAGCATGTGTCTGTGTTGGGTGTGTGTGTGTATATATATATAAAAAGTGTATATTGAAAAGTGATCTTTTTTATTTTCTTTTGTTTGTTTTAATATTTAATTCTTCATATCATTGTTTTACAAGCTGTTAACAAAAAGAGTCCTCTTGGTGGCTCACAGGAAAGGAAAGGAAAATCTAACACAGTATGTACAGTCCTTTTGAAAATGGATAGAGGACAGAATAATAAAATAAGCTGGTAGGTGAGGATTATTTCTATGCATTTGACATATAGGATACGAATATTTAATATTTATTTCTTTATATCATTGTTACATTCCCCATTAACAAAAACAAAAGAGTTCTCTTGGTAGTTTACAGAAAAAGAAAAAAATAAGGAAAAAAGCTAACCCCTGTATATGTACATAGTATTTTTGAAAATGGGTAGTGGACAGGATAATATAATTAGCTGGTAAGTGAGAGTTACTTCTGTGCATGCATTTATGTCTCTATCATTTTTCAAACTACTTTAGTGTATATATTTTTGTTTCAATCAGAAAGAAATCAGAAATATTAACCTGCTGTTTGATTACTTTTTTTCCAGAAATGTGGTACTGGGTTTTCCTATGGGCTCTCTTCTCTTCTCTCTTTGTCCACGGTGCTGCAGGAGTTTTAATGTTTGTCATGCTGCAAAGGCATAGGCAAGGGAGAGTAATCTCTGTCATTGTGGTCAGCATTGGATTTCTGGGTTCTGTAACTGGAGCTATGATAACCAGTAAGTCTTAAATGTTCAAATATAGTCATGCTTCTTTTTGAAGATTATTATTAGCAATTGTGGTAAATGTTCATATATTGCTTCTGTTTATAATTTTGGAATTTTATATTGGATTGATATTCATTATCTGAAGGAAAAAATCATATATAAGATTATAGCTATGATTTTTCAAATAATAATATTCTAGGCATAATTTTCTTCCAGTGCCATTATTTAATACACTACTGCCGAGATAACCACTGTTCTTACTCTCAAGTTACATAGTGCCTTTAGATACATATTTTCTGAATTTCTGATAATGTACTTGGTTCAGTTGTGTGCCAGGCCTGTTCCATAACCTGTCCTTTTATCCTGGTACAAATTAATGAACTGGTTTTTTAAAAACCCTGCATTTTGAAGTCTAAAGTAGGTGTACCTATTTCAGTGAATTACAAATCTGCACCTCAAAAAAAAAAAAAAGTTCTATATTGAAGAGGATGCCATTGCCTTCATATTGTCATTCTAGCTTTAGCGAAAATAGCAATAGCTATTCATGGCGCAGCAATAGTATTTTTACCCTCCCTTATAAGACACATCTAGTGCAACAATGGCAATAGATGATAGAAAAATTATGACAATGCTCTGTAAAGCACTGTAAGAGACAGCTGCCATACCCTAGAATTCTGGATGAATAATAATGGCATAACCTTCACATTGGATAGCAGGCTTTCAATTGCCAGCAGGACAAATTTACATTTATTGCTAGTCTACATTAATGCAATATTGCAGTGGCGCCTCAGGTACCTAAAAAAGGGGTGCAAGGGGGGTTTCACAATTACTGTTTAAAGTTGATTCTCAGATCAAAAATGATTTGAAATGTGAATGCCCATTTTAAATAATGTACTCAAACTATATTAAGTACAATAAATAGTAAATAGGAACTAAGGTCTGGCATTTTTATATGTTAACGCGTATTTCTTAACCTATTTAAGATAAGGTTTTAAAGTAATTTTAATAAATTGATAGTGAGACTTTGTCCAATAAAGATATTTTGCCTATATGTTTTTAAGACAATTTTTAAAAATCTGTTGCACTTGGATTCCGTTCAAGATTTTGTTACAATATAAAGATCTTTAGGAGATAGCTACTGAAATAGTAATACTTAATAAGAATAGCTCCTGGAAAGAAATAGGTGCACTATTTTGTCTATCACAGCAAATTAAGATTAGTTTAGTTCATTTCACACAAAATTATCAGTGTAGATTTATATTAGTTATATGCGATGTTTTCAACATGTATGTGACACGTAATGAAAACAAAGTAGTTTCCTTTTTCGTGCTGTTCAACAAAGTTTTCTTGGTTTGCACCTTGTTAAACAAAACTCAAAGCACTTTGTTGAACAAAACTCAACTACATATAATATACTTGAGACATGTGATCTTAGTTAAACTATTTTCTCTCATAATAAAAAGCAAGGTCTGTGGTAGGTAGTGATTCTAAAAATATGGTTTCATTCTCACTTCATTCTTCTGCAGCACTCTGTCATTGAATTGTCTCCAAATATTAGATCTTAAGTGCCTATTAAAACATGCTATCCTGGAAAAAAAAAGTTTAATGTGAAGGTCATTTTTACCTTGTAAAAATATGGTATAATAAGCAAGCCAGCCACATCATTAACTTCTTTCCATGACTTCAGGGTTCCTAAATGATTTACTAGTGTGGTGTGAAAAGGAACATTGCTGGGGTTGGCAAGGTAGTACTTGGTGTTTCCAGGAGATGGGCCACTACCCCAATAAAACAATTGGAATCTCATGAGTTTTTGACAATCTTTTTTGAGAAAGCAATGCTTGGACTGTTATATGAGAATGAGAATGTATGATGGTCCTTTGTATACCTGTGTGATAGATTTATATTGCCTATGGAAATTTTCATAAACTTGTTAGGGGCAACAGCTTATCTAATGCCTTTGTAATCTTTTTGTACAGTACATAATTTGCTTTATAAATATTTGCTTTGTTAACAGTAGATGATACTTAGTTATGATTTGTGTTGTGTTTTCCTCAATTTTTAAAATTTCTGTGCAGATTTTGACACATACTTTGAGATGCCCATAGAAATGTAAAAAGTACTAGCACAACTTTGAGCAAGCCATTAATGTGCAGTCTTTTTGTCTTTCAGGCTTTTTCTCTTCTACTGTTTTTGGATTGTGATATTTTGGTTTAATAAACTAAGATATGAACAAGACTTGCATTTGGGCATGAAGCCAATTTTATCTTCTTTGCAGAATACACTTAAGTGCAGTACAAAAGAATTATGCATTTAATTAGTTATCACTAAGAACCTTTTAATTACCCAAGATTTGTTTTTTATTATTTTTATATTTGGCTTTTGTGGTTCTCTGACATGAATTAGAGCACAAGCAACCTTTTATCACAGAGAGTGAGAAGAATGAAATGTGCTTGTCTGCCACATTTGATTTGATTAAATAATTAAATATGTATACAGATATTTATATAGACACATATGCATGGTAACATCTTTAATAAAGACTGTCACATCTACCTTATGAGGACCTATGTATTGTGATTGGTGCTACTGCCAACTGTTGTTTTAAATAGGAAACAATGTCTGCTTTTAAAAAAAAAATCCAGTACATGCAGGATTTTATTTACATATAATAAACTTTCTATATTTTTTAAATCTTCATACCAAAAAATAAGCTTAAATCAGAACATAAACATGTACAGAAAGTCATACATTTAATAATGGAAGGTGGGGTGAGAAACATGATGTATTAATCTTATGCTAACAATAGCATAATTTATGGAAATTTTCTATCAGGAAAATTATATTAAACATCAAAAATATTTTTCAAATTATTGAACAGTAATGGATATTAGGATAAATCCTATTTCTTCTAGAATAAATCAATGAAATACTCAGTTTTCTGTGGGGGAAAAAACTTTCAGTTTATTCCAAGTGGAATAGTATGGTTACCAGCTTTGAACCAATCCAGTATACTGAACATGGTCAGAAATTGATTTTGTGATTCTTCCTTGTTTTAAAATTTATTCCTTGGTCAGTTGAAATGGGAAACTGATTACATTGAAATATTTCTCACTGTTCCAGTTCATTGCAAAAGGAAAGAGTTAGAGGCCGATGCATGCCCTGTCGAACCAAGAATATGCATTAGCTTAAAGTGTAAGTGAGGTATGATTCCATTGGAGAAGGTGGGTTGCTTTGCCCGTGTTTTCTTGGCAGAGTGCCTGATAAGATTTAAACATTTTAAGGAATTAGACAGCAGATCAGGGTTTCTTAGGAATGTGGTTTGAGACTGTATCTAAATAAAGAATGCTTAGAGCAGTATCATTGCATAACTGATTTCTGTTTTAGGGTGTTTCATGGGCAGTCAACAATCAGAAACTAAACCTTTAGATTATTTGATAATCCGTCTTGCATAGGCTTCTAATTATTAATGTATTGTCGAAGGCTTCTAATTATTAGTTTCTTATGTGGGTTGGGCACTTTAAGTCTCACTGAATGGGGGAGCTGAACACATATTTAGATATCTCCCATTCAAATGAATGGGAAAGAATTGCTTAACTTTTGCTGGAACATTCCCTCAAATATATTAAGGACATATACATGTAGAAGAGTGTTCATCTACATTTCAGTAAAGTGTAGAATTTTACGTGCTGTCCAGTGTGATAAGTTGTAAAATAAACTCTGTATTTTTCAGTATGGAGGAAGGGAAGATTAACATATTGACTATATAGTGATTTTTGAATAGAAATATTTTGTTCTATCTTATTACAATTTTACTTTTTTCTACCTTGTCCCTTTTAGGTGCAGCAGTAGCTGGAATTTACAGAGTGGCTGGGAAAAGTATGGCTCCCATGGAAGCACTGGTATTTGGAGTTGGGCAGACTGTACTGACAATAATTATTTCATTTTCAAGGATTCTTGCAACACTTTGAATCTTCTTGCTACATTTTGAATTTTCTACAAAAGTGTTGTGTATAAAAGGAAACAGTCTGCAGTGAAGCTTTCCAGAAGTGGCTTCAGTAGCTGATAGATTGGAATTACCAGGGAAATGCATGGTATGTGGACTGCAAAACTAGAGGTCCTATCCATTTGGAAAATACTTCCCTCTAGAGTCCAAAAATGACACCCTACTGCACTGTACCTAATGTGCCTCTGTCATTGGCAAGGTGTAATCCATTAAGGAGAAGCTTGAGATAAATCACCTTGTGAAGCTGCTAATCAGGCAAACAGTTGGTGTTGTGATCATTGTTTGTGACAGTATTGAAGAAAATACAGGGGCATTTCTGAAGAATGAATAAATGTGCCAAACGTGAAACTGATTTTTTAAAAAAAAATATATTGATAATGTGACCATTTAAATGTGTAGTAACTGAGTGCTACAGACACAGTTAAAAAATTCAGGTATAACAGCTAGGTATTTGCTTATTAATATTAATTGAATCCCATTCAGTTCAGTACATTAGCAAGGCTATGGGGAGAAGACAATTGTGAACTGATTTTATATGTGAGCAGATTCAGTAGATGAAACAAAGCTCTAATAAGGATATGAATGCTACTTATTCAAAATGAGAGCATTTTATGAATGAGTTTATTAAGATGCATTGTATTAACTAAAGGCAGTTTCAGTAACTTTATTTCTATACTTTCATATCTTATAATTTATGGTAAACCCACTAGTCATATTACAGATTTTAAAAAGTTGTATGAGTCAGATGATACAGCTTACAAAATGAAATGTCCTTAATGAAATGATCCATAATTTTCTAAATCAAATTGTTTTGAATCAGAAAGCCAGTTGTAATGATCTCTAAAATTAAGCACTCAGTAATATCATTTTAAGACCAGTGGGAACCATCAGTCTTGAAAAACACATGCTTACCACATAAATTATACTGTGATAGACACAAAGAAAAGAAGACAAAGAAAAAGCAATTTTTTTGTATGCAATTCAGAACAAAATTATTCTGGTAAGCTATTATAATTTTAAAAACAGGGCAGTTTAATTTCTTATTTCAATTTCCCAATTTTTAGATGGCTTGGAAGCAATTATATATGACTTTCATCTGCTTAGCTTTCAGTAGATACATTCTGTTTGTGTGCTTGAACAAAAGTAATAGTGGTGTGGCTGTAGTTGTCTTTACTGTAAAATGTTATGAAATGAATACCAATAACAGAAAGTATCTTAATGGACCAGTGTGAGTATTAAGAAGAAGTGACTAAATTGCACCTTTGCCCTGACACATATAGGTCTCTTGTGCAGTCAAGCCCCACACTGCATGTGCTGGCATTTGAAAGAAAAGCAAGGTTCTGTACTTTTGGAAGAGAGTACAAGTAGCAGTGGCTGAAAAATACATTTGAATGTTTTACCAGAGAACCTTAGGTACTTTTATTGCCCATCGGTTCATCCACTTCCACAGCACTTCATTCACTCTAGCTGCAGATGCTCCTCCCTTAATAAAGTGGAATTTCTGGCTAGGAATCAGAACAAACAGTCCTGATACATACTGGCAGTTCACTAAGTGTGAATTGGTTCTTAAAATTGAGATTAAAATAGGCATTGGGTCTACATATGCATCTTAAAAAAAGACAAAAACATGGCCACAAATTGTCATGATAACATAATCATACCCACAGGAATAATAATTTGACAGTACAATTCTTTGCTCCGTAGCCTTTCTAGATATTGTGGTAAAAATCTCAATTTATACTCATACGTATTAATTACATTTATTACCTAGGTCTACCTTGGTCTAGGTAAAAATTTAAAAGAGATTTACTGTTTATCTTTTTGTCATTCTTATAATAGCAGTGGTAGGCAGTTCCTGCAAGAATACATACATACATGCATCCAAGCGTATATATATGTATGTGTGTGTGTGTGTGTGTGTGTGTATACACACACACACACACATACATACACACACACACACACATACATACATACATATATACATACATATATATGGAACTATTTCATCATTTGACTGCAGAGCTCTGTCTGCAATAGCCACAAATAGAAATTTTGTGCTCATCCTGAGATCTGAGTCAAGGTCAAAAGGCAGTGGAAATAGCATTACTATTGGAATTTAATGAAATATATTTTGTTTCAGATAATTTAAATGTAAATACCAAGGTACATTTATGTATGTATGTAGGTATATATGTATGTATTTACTTACTTACTAAACATACAGTAGTACAAAATGATTTGGGTGGGCGGTAGTGCCTTGAGTATATATTAGAACTAATTTTTTAGTTTCTCCATTTTTCTGCTGTTCTGTATCTACTGATGAATTACTGTGTGGCAATGTTGTAATGGATATGGTAGTGAAGTTCCCATTAAAATTACAACAAAAACACAATTGGAAAATATTACCCCAGTTCAAGCCACAAGGATTTTTAAAGAATTAATTCAGTTGGAGGAAGATTATTTCTACAAGGCTTTATAGTTAGAATTCTACATCTTAATTTCCATATTTTATTGAGCATCAAAACATGCTGTATGAAATGCTGTTGTATTTATATGTACTCTGGTTTGATATTTAGTGTTACATGTACAAATTTAATGGTTTTACAAAACAAACATTCTCAGGCCCCAGAACTAAAGACAGTTATATAGATTGTATTTGTAAATTGCTAGTTATAATGATTTTAGGGCTATATGCAGAAACGTCATGCTGGAGACTCAGATGCTTCTTATGTTATTTGTGGTTGCCTCATCAGATAAAACTACCAACAGTTTTTCACAAAACAAACTCTATTGGTATTAAAAGTAGGGTGGGAATAATTTATATGCTAGTAGAAATGCACTTTTTGTTAAAATACTGCAATACATTTATTGTCACCAATAATATATAATGCGTTTTTAACATGGCCATCTAAAAAATGGATCTACTGAGAAAAACTAAGCAAAAGTATTTTACAACAGGAGGCAATCATAGATAATCCCTAGTAAAATTAAGCTGATGAAATGTTTTGTAGATAAATCATTGTATATGATTTTGTTTTTGTATAAAAGGATGGTGGATAGAACCTCTTACTGTTCTTGTTTAGTAATGGGTATTGAAATACACAATTGAACAGACAATAGATACCATTTAGTGAAGACATCTCTGGCTTCCCATGCCTTTGAACAGAATACATCAAACTTGTATTTTAAAGTGACTGCAGTGATAGTTATTTATTGCTTTTAAAAATGGATTTATATATTAAAAACAGGAATGAAGTAACCAAGGAAGTGTGTTTTATAGCAATATTCTTCTATATTCAGTCTTGAAAATAATAGATAAGGAATAATGTTCCTAGGACAACTTTTCATCTTCTAAAAAGGGTGAGAGTATATGAATTCCTTGTAAGTTTATATTAGAGTGCTTTAGTTCAGGGTGAAATGTTCTTTGTATGAATGGCGTTACCATAATATCTCCAGCTGCTAAAATAAGTGAAAGAATTATCTATGCTATTCTCCAAATATGTATTTGGAGAAAAGTTTCAACTTGGACAAGCATTCTTAAGAAAAATGCAGTGTAACATTTCTGCAGTACCAATATTTGAACATGAACAGAGTTATTAACAACTATTGGAGAACAATTGAAAAATTCACAAGATTCAAAATAAAACTCTTCCAGGCCTTCAGTTTTTTAAGTAAATAACATAAGTTCAATGAAATAATAGCATTCTAGATATTCCCTTTAGTTACTTAGATTAACAGGTTAAGTTGGTTTGTTTTATATACACATGGACCAAAGAGGTGGTTTAGTATTTGTTGTATTTATTTGTAATATAGCATTTTAAATATATTTTTCTTGAGTAATTTGAGGAAAGCAGTAGTATTTCCTCTTCAGTTTGCACTTTGCTATATTTTGTTTCAGTATGATAAACTTATTTCTACTTGAAGCTTGCATATTTTTGTTGTATTGTAGTAAAACCAAGCAATCAGCTTTTGGTATAATTAAACTGATTTTTAAAATTAGTTATGGTTGAAGTTTATTATCCATTTAGGTAACTCCATGTCTTCCCTCCCCAAAACCATGTTTAACATTTTAAGGCACTAATTTTGTACATGTTATCAGTCTTGCATCATTGCATAAAATATTCAGTGGGCCCAAGTTTCTCCAATTCAGTCAAGCCTTTTTCTGTCTGCATTTACTTGTAAAATAATGTGCCTCCAAGCCTTGTATTTACTTTCACTGTGTGTTGCAGAGGAGAGGGCCATGTGGTTTTCATAAATCCATAGTTGGATTTAATAATTTATTACTTTGCTAGAGACATGTCCAGTGGGGAGAGGAGAGGCAAAACAAGTGTGTTAAAGCTCACAAAAGTTTAACACACTTTTCTTTTTTTCTACATTTTGGGGAAGAAGGAAAGTTAAGAATTGCTCCTGAATTTTAACAACACAAATTGTGGGTGCTTTGGAGTAAGAAAACAGTGTTGGGAACCACAAATCAGCTATAGAACAGTGATCTTCAGATGCAAGTACAGCCACAGAAAAGTTGGTCAGTGTCTTAAAAATGTGTTTCTCTTCCATTGAGATTAATAGAATTAACTGGAAAAAAAATAGGATACAAAATATGGGGGAGCCGTTTCTCCCTTTATTGCAAAACTTAGACATTAAAATGTGGGCAAATTGTAGAAAGTACTGAAGATCCAGCAAATTGCAGGATTTCCCTCTGATTCCATACAATTCAAATTATTACCTCATAGAATTGTATGAGAGAAGTGCCTCAGTGCTTACATAAACATCTTTGGCCAGATTTGTGATATTTATGATAGTGTGCTTTTGATTAATGCCATCCTTCAGTTAAAAAATTGAAGTCAAAATCAGAATATTATCTATGAGAAAGCTACAATACTGAGTTTTGCCTAGATGTTTATGAATGAATGAATGAATGAATGAATGAATGAATGAATGAATGAATGAATGAATGAATGAATGAGAATATATATAAATTCTGAAGATGTTCTAGGCTACATGGTTAGTCATTACTATTAATTTTTTTCTCAGGAATAGGCTTCTTCCTTTCTGTGTACAAGTGTAGGTACATTTTCCATTTTGTTTATGAACATTTGCACATTCATACTCTTAAACATGCTCCTGGAAGAAAAGATAGGAAAACCTTGTAACTCTTCTTCTTGAAAGAGATACATATTATCTTAATAGCTTCAGAAGTGTTTCATCATAATCTTAGCTGTTAACATAATATAAGTGGTGGTTACAATAATTTCCTCTACCTTTATGTCTGCAGCAAACTACTTGTACACAGTTACTTAAAACACAGATGTTGGAAGATTCTCTACCCAATTGCAAGTCCTTTAATATATATGATGGTGTGAAGAAAATCTGTGATCTGCATTGTAATTAATTCACACCTGGTGGATTCACTAGATAGATTTATTCATTCACTGAAACAGCATTGATCATGCTTTTGGATGACCTCTGATGGGAGCAGGATGGGGGTAGTGCAGTGTCACATGTTGAGTTAGGTGGCCATATGAACTGGATAAATAAAAAAAATCCTGGTTCTATTTGACATTTGTTGGCCTTCAATACCATTGACCGTGGTATCCTGGATCGGCTCCATGGGATGGGAGTAGGTGGCACTGTATTGTGCTGGTTCTCTTCCTTCCTATGAGGCTGATTCCTGTCAGTGTTGATAGGGAGTGAGAAGTCCCACTCTCAGCCCCTATTATGTGGGGTACTCTCTCTGCTTCTGTTTAACATCTATGTGAAGTGGCTGGGTGAGATCATCCATCACCTTGGTGTGTACCCAGTTGTACATCTCCGCCCCTGGTAAACTAAGGAGTGCTGTTGATGTCCTGCCTTTATGCCTAGAGACTGCAGGGGTCTGGATGGGGAACAATCAGCTAAAACCTTGGCAAGCCTGAGCAGTTTTGGGTCTTGGAGCGTTCCAAATCTGGGAATTTACCATCTTTGGGTGCTGGGTGGGGTTGCATCTCCTGTGCTCAATCTGAGGGCCCTTCTGGACTCACAACTTGTGCTTGAAGAGCAGGTGGCAGCTGTGGCTAGGAGGGTCTTTGTGCAACTTCATGTTGAATGCCAGTTGCACCCATTCCTTGATCAGAAGGCTTTACTCTGAGTTACTCATGGCCTGGTCACCTCCTAAATGGACTACTGGTAACACATTCTACATGGGGATGCACTTGAAGAGTATCCAGAAGCTTCAACTGGTGCAAAATGCAGTGATGTGGGTAGTTACGTGTGCTCCTAAACATGGCATGTTACTCTTCTCCTTGAGCTGCATTAGCTGCCAGCCTGCTTCTGGGTTCAGTTCAGTGCCTGGGAGAATAACCAGGTCTTTAAGGCCTTGCAGAATGACATCAGGGTGGAAAGCCACCCAGATCTCAGGGGAAACCTCTGCAACGGAGAAGGCTCACTTCCACAGTCCCAATAGATGGCACTGTTTAATCAAAGGAACCTAGAGTGCACAACTCTGTCAGATTGAATTGGCCAGGCTGACACCACAGGAGATAGGCAATCCCT